TTAGGACACAAACTCGTTTGGAACATTAATTTGGTGCATCACGAACCCAATTGCAATCCCGATATTAGAAGAATAAAAAATGCCATATTTCCGTCAAAAATCAATGAAACGGAACGAAATGCAAATTTTATCTGGTTTCATTAAGATGCACTCACATATACCAAAAATCAGCTCAATATCTTCAAGCGTTTAGAAAAAAAGTGTAGAAAACCAAATGGGACAGACTGACAAAATAGGAGACCCTATATATTTGTAAGCAGGACCACTAGCAAACATGGATTTATGTAAATTGAGCGTAAGAAGAAATATTGGCTTAAGTATATTTTTGAAAATTTAATATCGATTTCTAGTTTCACTTTCAAATCACCAGATAAACGTTGTAACCTACGCACCCCTACTAATGTTATTGTGATTTAAATTCAAGACACGTGGCTTAGGTTGATCTGTTCAAAGGTTATAGGGCAGAACCGGTTTTATAAATAAAATTGGCAGTAAACATGATATTGCTATAGCCTGTTTCTTTTGGAAACATGTCTTGTAATAAATGTTTCCAGACCCTTCTGAAAGACTTTCATGATTTTCAACAGAAAAAGGGTGGCTAAATGATGGGGTGTTAAATAACAATATATCTTATATACTTTTCGGCGAAAATTAGAGCTCAATAGTGACCGATTCGCTGGTAAAAAATGTGCATTATCATCTACACTGACAAATCTTTGTTCGACTTATATGGCTATTGTTATAAATGCGCACAGAGGATCTTACCACGAGCAACTGACCAATCGTTGAATGAATAGCAACGTTTACGCCAATACATGTTTACATTTTACTTCGAACATGTAGTTCAGGTCAATCTACGATCATGTTAATGGACTGCAAAATAAAAAAAAGTGTTCTTACGAACAAAATACAAAGATAAGAAACTATGAAAGATGTTACGGGCGTTTTTAATTTGTTGTTAAATGGAAAAAATGTTTAATAAAATGTAGTTTGCGTCTAGTTCAGAACACCAGCGCTTCAACGGTAAGGAAAACGAGCAGCATCTCTTATGCATTTAAATGGACAAAACTTTGTTTACGTTCGTGATCAGATGTTCAGCTAGGGAATTCACCTGGCAATTGTATTCACCGATAGTACAACAAAGGAATTAATACAGACGCAAATCGCTTTTGCAGTATGACTTTCAGAAACCTAGACTTCCGCCGTTTATTTAACAAATGGATTGCTTATGAGCAGGAAAATAATATTTTTAAAAATGCTTTTCATTTACCATAAGGTTTTCCTATTGTTCAACCGTAAAATTCCTGTAGTATTCGTAGTAACCCATAATGCAATATTCATTTAGCTGATTGGTCAGTTAAAATCATGCTGGTGCCTTATTTGCTAATCTGACGCCAAAAATATAGTCCCGATTCCAATGCAAAAATATTTGTCCAAAAAGAAATTTTAATTCATGACTGCAGAAAATTGTATTATAGAGAATACTCAGTCTTATTTAAGTTTGAATGAATGTTAAAGAGACCGATTGATTGAAGTACATTTCTGCAGTTATGTTCTAAATTCACCAGTTCAAACGAACATAAATTATTTATAAATAAAACTCAAAAACACTTTATATAGGATGAGCTCGCATGCGCGAGTGCAACAGACTTTAATGAAGTGTATACAGTATACAAAGCACAGTCTTTAGTTTAACTTCTGAAATCCATATCATTCTACAAAAGAGAAAGAAACAAATAAAGCGACAGTCAACATTAAAACGAACATTTTAACATGTTCAGTATATCGATCACACTGGAAGGGGTGGGTGGGGCGGGGGATAAGTCTGTTGCAATGTAGCAGCGAACTTCGAATAACTTAAAACACCCGAAAATCTACCTTATACGTGACTGAATCATGCGTAGCACGGATTCAACCTATTCACCCGTAAACAAATAAACAACCAATCGATCTCCTTTATCGATGGACTTCATCTGCATACAAAACAAACACACGTGTTTTACCATAACTTTTATAAATATATTTATGTTCTAAATTCACCAGTTCAAACGAACATAAATTATTTATAAATAAAACTCAAAAACACTTTATATAGGATGAGCTCGCATGCGCGAGTGCAACAGACTTCGACGATAAAGAAAGCATTGACATAAAATTACCAAAACGTGTATGACCCCACCCCTAGATATCAAGACTTCAAGGTAATTCAATTGTTACTTATTTCATACCAGGCCTTGAATAATTGAAAATTATAAAAATGTCGCCGAATTCTCAAAGTGATGCGTATTTATCCACATTGATTATTCTTCAAACCGCATAAAGAAAAGTTAAAATTATACAGGAGAATAAAGATATAACTTTTCAGTAATGCAAATGAATTCACCTATTACATGCATTTTCAAAACGAAAATTATTCAACGATTATATCTATGTTAAAAATTAAGCAATTGACGAAAACTGCACAGTTTTTTATACTGAGTTCGTGGTACTTTAATTTCTTCTATGTATACTGCACAATTATTATTATTATGCATAAATACTGTAGTTTATAAAGCGTTTGCTATGAATGCAAAACTTCATGAATCAATTATAAATTTATATCAAACTTTTAAAAATTTGTATTTAAGGCTAGATCGAGGACATTTGTATAAAAATGTTCAAAGAACTTTCAATTACATTAAGATTCATAAACACTCAGTCTGCTCGCTGGTATAAAATGTTGCTTGAACCTAATGTTTTTCCAAAAAAGAATGTATTTATAAGTAAAATACATTTAATTGGACAAAAAAGACACTTCTACTTGCAAATCTATAAAGGAATATTAGACATTTATGTCATTCAGCATTTTTGTTCAGAGTTATCTCTCTTATCAGAGTATTAAAGATTTCAATTTTAAGCTTCCTTTGGAGAATTTCATGACTTTTTGAATAAATCATTAAATTAAAGAGTTATCCTTCACGGCTGAAGAGTTTTCTTTTCCTTTTTACCATGACGTCTTCAGAACTCAAAAAGCCTTCTACGTTGATTTTTATCAGTGAATCATACATATCAGCATTTGCAGTTCAGATAGTAACCCCGTTAAAACACTATGAAGAATAAAATTACTTCTATAAACTTAAAAGTTGGAGTGCTTACATAATTCTCTGTTTCTTGTACAAGATTGAGACTTCCAGATACATAAGAATAACTTTTACAATACAAAATAAATTTAAATCAATCATAAATTATACTCATCTGATCAAACATTATTATTAACCTTTTCTAAACATCTCTTGGTTATGAGCAATAGGACAAATGAACTGAACTACACCTACCAGAATGTAAACATCATTCCTCTTTGACTTTGATTTGTCCGAACCTTGATTTTAAACGCAGCTTTGGAAGTCTTCAGACAAACCCTTCAAGGAAAGTTTTGCAAAACATCTGGTCCGTGTGTCCTGACTAAAGATACCTGAAAAAACTTTTGCTCCAAAAATTTCAAAATCAGATTGTGATAACAAATTGCTTTATCATTCCTAAATTATTTTCTAAACGCTTAGAATCCAATCCAGCAGAGCCTGTGATTATAAGAAGCACAGTTACAATTTGGCCTCCTTTACAGAATAAACAAGACAATGCTATATTAGTAGTTAGGCTATTAAAATATAGATACGCAAGCACAATAGTTTCGCTTTGTCAATTGAAATTTCAAATATGTCTGCAAATACATCTCAAACAAATTGCACTTTTGTATATCTTTTGAAGTTTATGTACTTGTATTTATCGATAAAACGAGTTTCCTGCTTCAATGAGATACTATAAAACACATCTTCAAAAGACAAGAAAGCAACTATATTTAAAGTCATGTCAACTTCGAAAATGCTTAAAAATCCAACAAACAGAATTGTCTGCATAACCATACATCTCGGAATTTTCCAGCTTCATCAAGATACTTACAGGTCTTTTGAAGGTCTTTGGCTAAATATACTAGTCAATTCTACATTCCAAAAAATGTTAACTTTTTCGAAAATTTTAAAAAATTTCAAAAATAATTTTTTGATCAATGTACATGATGAACCATTCAACTATTCCAGCTTCATCTAAGCTACTTACAGCATTTGAAGTGTCTTGCCTGCATCATACTACATCTCCAACCATGCGAGATTCTTCAAGCTACTTAAGGAATTTTAAGTGGTTTTGTTTGTATCAAACCCTCTCAAACATGCCAGTTTCTTCAAGTTACGAACTGAATTCTATATGGTCTTGTCTTTGTAAAACTACATCTCAAACCATGCCAGCTTCTTCGAGCTACTTACTGAATTCTATACGGTCTTGTCTGTATCAAACTACATCGCAAACCATGCCAGATTCTTCAAGCTACTTACTGAATTTTAAGTGGTTTTGTCTGTATCAAACCCTCTCAAATATGCCAGTTTCTTCAAGTTACTAACTGAATTTTATATGGTCTTGTCTTTGTAAAACTACATCTCAAACCATGCCAGCTTCTTCGAGCTACTTACTGAATTCTATATGGTCTTGTCTGTATCAAACTACATCTCAAACCATGCAAGCTTCTTCAAGCTACTTACAGAACTTTAAAAGGGCCTTGTCTGCATCATACTACATTTCAGACCATGCCAGCTTCTTCAAGCTACTTACAGAACTTGAAAAGGGCCTCGTCTGCATCATACTACATCTCAGACGGTGCCAGCTTCTTCAAGCTACTTACAGAACTTGAAAATGGCCTCGTCTGCATCATACTACATTTCAGACCTTGCCAGCTTCTTCAAGCTACTTACAGAACTTGAAAAGGGGCCTCGTCTGCATCATACTACATCTCAGACCATGCCAGCTTCTTCAAGCTACTTACAGAACTTGAAAAGGGCCTCGTCTGCATCATACTACATTTCAGACCTTGCCAGCTTTTTCAAGCTACTTACAGAACTTGAAAAGGGCCTCGTCTGCATCATACTACATTTCAGACCGTGCCAGCTTCTTCAAGCTACTTACAGAACTTGAAAATGGCCTTGTCTGCATCATACTACATGCCAGCTTCTTCAAGCTACTTACAGAACATCAAAAGGGCCTTGTCTGCATCATACTACATCTCAGACCATGCCAGCTTCATCAAGCTACTTACAGAACTTGGAAAGGACCTTGTCTGCATCATACTACATGCCAGACCATACCAGCTTAATCAAGCTACTAACAGAACGTCAAATAGGCCTTGTCTGTATCATACTACATGCCAGATCATGCCAGCTTCATCAAGCTACTTACAGAACTTCAAAAGGGCTTTGTCAGCAATACATCAATACATGTGGCACTAGGTCTTGCGAATATCATAATGATTTGAACCGAATCTGGCTATCATATTTATCAGCATCGGAATACATTATGTACAAATTATGGAGCATCAATAATATGCATTTATCTTATGTTCTTCATTTCTACGTATTTGAAAATACAACGTCCAGTATTTGGAGCATCAAAACCACTGTGGCTAAACAAAGGTTTTATTGAATAAAAATTTTTACTAAAATAAAACGATGTTTCATCATTTTTCGAGTTTATATCAGGAACATCAGGAACTATATATTCAATTACATGTACACTGTACATTATTTCCAAGATTTTAAAACAACTTCAGTAAAATGAAACTAGCTATATGCAGTTCTATGCATCAATAAGTCACAGTACAATGTAGAATTGTAAAATTTTAGAACTGATCGAACCATATCATGAAATTCATATACAATTAGCTTCCAAAATAGTGTCTCGTTACTATAAATTAGAAACAATGGAACTTTGTTCATAATTGCTACCAAATACCAAGCCATCATATGGATATAAAATTATATATACATGTACCAGGAACGTACGTGCATTAATTACTACCGTGACTTTACTAGAATTATACTCATTCTCAAGTAACACATGTATATATATTTATTATTTTTTCTTTTCTTTTCTTTTTTTTTTTTTTTTTTTTACAAAGCTAAATTCGAGCTGAAAAACGGACATTAATCTGTGTCCAAATGCTTACCAGATTCTCTGTTCTGCGCGTGCCTCTATCTGCTGTTAGAGTCGTAGCCGTAGCTTACATAGTCCTATGGTCTATGAGGCTTAGTAACAATGAAAGAAACAAAACTGGCAGAAGATTAGACGTTGACAAACGTTTTAATCACTCAAGCTTTCAGGAATTACGATTAACAGAATAAAATTTTGTTGCCTTAATGTGAAAGACACAGAGTGAGCTTATATGGTCCCCTTTACCCTATCGTTGATAATATAAACTGTTTTTAAATTCAAATGTTATTTTTATACTTTCATTTTTTCTTTGAGAAAGTCGCAAATAAGAAATTACCAGTTTGTAGCTGCACCTTCAAATGTGCCAATATTTCCCCACATGGAATCCAAACGTGTCAGAGATGCCCGGAACCTCGGTTCTATTTGTTTGTGGATAATCAGCAACTGTTTCTACATGGAGCTAAGCGCTCGTCTAGTATAGACTGATTTCTATCTCCGATCTAAGAGAACATAAGTCTGTTGCAATGTAGCAGCGAACTTCGAATAACTTAAAACACCCGAAAATCTACCTTATACGTGACTGAATCATGCGTAGCACGGATTCAACCTATTCACCCGTAAACAAATAAACAACCAATCGATCTCCTTTATCGATGGACTTCATCTGCATACAAAACAAACACACGTGTTTTACCATAACTTTTATAAATATATACATTATCAGCTGATTCTAGGGTGGTGAGAACTGAAACGCAACATAACTTTTCTGTTTACCATGTCTCCACGTGCTAGTCACTTCCTAGCCACATTTCCGTGAATAATTTACCCTGTCTCGCTAAGTCTCGCTAACTCTCGCCAGAGCCACTGCCAGAGCTACTCTGAACTCATCGGGTTTTATAATTTGCAGAACACCGAAAAATAAAAGGTTCCGAACACATTAGTAGGGGTGCTACGATTACTTAGTATTTACATGCACATTATACCCCGCCACTGACATGGATCGCCCACGCGACACTGTGGTCAGAGCGTTTTCTTCGTTAGTTACGAATTCAAGACTTCATATTTATGTTTTTGGATGGAATCCCAATGAGGAAAACGGACTTTTGCTGTGGATATTGACACGAAAATGAACCCTCGCTGTTCAATGGCCATAAGTTCCGTATACCGGCTTGAATTTTACTAACATAATTCATAACTTTTAAAAGACATGATTTAAGGTTATGACAAGAATTAAACCTAGTGTTTCATATACAGTCGCACCTGTTGTTACGGCCACCTTTAATCAGCGGCCACTCCTCATGAGCGGCCAGTTTCAATCCCGCCCGTTCATTTTTTCACTATATTTTAACTGATTTAAGCGGCCACCTGTCTAACGCGGCCAGTGGCCAGTGTTTTTAGGTCCCGTGAGGTCAACATGCCTGTTTTCAGCGGCCATTTTGTTCGTATTGTCACATGACTTCCGTCTGGCACGTGACCTCGTATCCTCGAGAAGCCAAACATGAACAGCTGATAATGAGTAATTACGATAATTGCGAGTGTAATTTGAATTCTGCCAGGATTTAATGATTTAATTATTATGATTAAATTACTAGAATATTATTGTATACAAATTTTATTGTGTTCTTTATTTACGAAAGTAAGTTGATGAACAGCTGTTGAATAAGTTCACGATATAAACTCAATACATAATAAAAATTTTACAATTTCGCCTGAGATTATCAAGTCAAATGGTCAGTCTCGGGATATAACCCTACTATGTTAGATAATACATATTAAGAACAACTAAAAAGCTTTGCACAGCATCAGGGAAATGCTACTTGTATTTTGTTAGAACATTTCATGATTTTTTGTGATGTAAATTCTATTCCTATTTAGCTGTTAAAATTAAAATTACCAACACAAAACAACTTTAAATAAATAATAATAATAGATTTCTTTCCTAAATTCATGTAAAATAAAATGCAAAAAAGGACCTCATGTGACTTAAAACTTCCTAATTTTTTAAATATGTTGAAATTGCGGATTTAGATATGTTTGAAATTAAATATGCAACTGTGGTCGCAATTTTTTATTCCTTGGTTTGAAACCTGGAATAAGAGGCCACCTGTCTTATGTGGCCAATTTGTCGTTCTCCCACAAGTGGCCTCTTAAAACAGGTTTGACTGTATATGTAAATAAAATTCAAAATTACGGCATTTCAAACGTTGCAATATTCGATCTTTTCCATTTGTATTGTGTAATTTTTAGTTGTATTCTATAATTTTCCATTTGTATTGTAATTTGTATTCCACTATAAGTTTTCATTTGTATAGTATTTTTTTTATTTGCATTGTATAATTTACTGCGCATGCTCAGTAAAACAGGACGCCTCTTCTCAGCTCTCTTGAAATTTTATAAAATTTCACATTTTCTGACTGATCCCACAGGCCTGGATTCGTGAGGATCAATTAGGACTTCCTAATATCAACTTTATTCACTCCATCGTCATGGGAATTCATGGATCGACCGAACGTTGGGCTTTTTTACAGCTAAGCTGATTATTGACAATAGAATCTTTATACTTCCGGTTGAGGGGCAAATGTAAATAACCACAATGAAACACCTCTTGTTTACTATATGTTTTATGACTTTTGTGGTAAGTAAAACTATATACTTCCCACGACAGACACAAAACATCTACGTGTCTAAGGAATTTCCATTCTCCCTCCAACAGTTCAGTCATATCTGTGCAAACACCTGTATTTACTATTGGCATAGAAACACATCGCGACAGAGGAAATTCCAGCCATGTGTGGTTTGTAATACTTCAGACTTTCTATCTATGTTATTAGTGATTGGAGGTGTAGAAACAAACCCCGGCCCCTCTACCTCAAGTTATATATGTCCTATATGCGATAAACCGTGCGACTGGGGACAAAGAGTCATTGCATGTGATGAATGCAATCATTGGTACCATCATGCATGCGTCTTGTACATGGGTAGTTTCAGAGGAATATTTATTCCTATCCAATAAGTCTGTCTCATGGTACTGTGTAGTTTGTAATGCCCAAAATCACTCGACTGTGTTGTTTGATTTAATTGACTCTGCTGATAGCAACACCTTTTTAGTTTTGTCTACAAGAGATTCTAGTAATGCAGATCCAAACTACAGCAGCTTATCAGATACCAGCATCGGAGAACCTATGGCAACATCATCCCCCAACCATCAACAAGGCAGCCAAAACAACAACGAGGGAACACACGGCAGAACCTACGTATTCTTGTTACCAACTTTCAGAGTGTCAAAAACAAACGTAACGATCTCCAAGTCATGATTGAATAAACGAAACCCGATGTAATCCTTGGGACTGAGACTTGGCTGAGTGATATGATATGTACATCCGAGATATTCCCTCCTGAACTTGGGTATGATGTGATACGCAGAGACCGCGAAGGGGATGCACATGGTGGGGTTCTTATAGCTGCTACAACTGAACTCGGCCTGAATCACCTTCACACCAATGGGGACTCGGAACTCAATTCGGGTAGCATCAACATAAGCCCTCGAAAGAAAGTGATTTTATCATGCCTTTACCGTCCACCAAATAGGCAAGATCAGCATACAACAGATAAAGTTATACACAATATAAGTGAGCTGCGCTCTCAACACAAGAATAACATCTTCATACTAGGAGGTGATTTCAACCTGCCAGACATCGACTGGGATAAATATGCAATCAATGGTTCCCAAACATCAAGGGAAATAAACAACGCCTTTATGCAGATGACTGCCGACCTAAACCTGCAGCAAGTAGTAGATATCCCGACCAGAGGAGAGAACATCCTGGATCTACTTTTAACATCCCATCCCGGGCAACTTAGTCGATGTAAGACCATCCCACCACTTGGTAACAGCGATCATGATGTGGTACTCCTAGATTTCACAACACACATATCTCGACCACGACCAAAGAGGAGAACCATCTATCTGTGGAAGAAAGCCAATACTAACGGCATCAGAGACGAGCTCCAGAGTCAATTAGATACCTTCACACATACCAACTATGAAGATGTCAACAGCATGTGGGGGTACATTAAGGATCTTATATTAGGAGCTGTAAAACATCATGTACCATCTCGACGCACACTGGCTAAACATACCCACCCGTGGATGACCTCTGAGTTAAGACGCCTAAGCAACAGGAAACAGAAAGCCTACAAACGTGCTAAGCGCAGTAAGGACTCGAAAGACAATAAGCGTTACAAGGCACTCAAAGGGCAACTCAAAGAGAATCCAGGTGAGCACACACAGCGTACTTGGAGGACGTCGTCAGCGATGATCTGCGTACCAATTCTAAACGGTTTTGGACTTATATTAAAAACAGAAAACAGGATTCATCCCAGATTGTGACATTGAAGTCCAAGGACGGTTTCCTCCGTAGCGATATTGCCAGTAAAGCTTCGATTCTGAATGAGCAGTTCCAATCTGTCTATACACAAGAGGACTTGAGTCCTCTACCCGATCTAGGACCTAGCCCCTTCCTTACTATGGACAACATAACCATTAACGAGAGGGGAATATTGAAACTATTACAGGGACTACGCCCATTCAAAGCTACTGGACCCGATGAGATTCCAGCGTTCATCCTGAAGCAAAGTGCAGAGTCCATAGCCCCTTATCTGACAAGGATGTTCCAGCTTTCCTTAGATTACGGTCAGAAACCAGATGAATGGCGTAGAGCAAACATCGTCCCTATATATAAACAAGAGGCCCATGGGCCACATCGCTCACCTGAGCACTAAGGGTAGGAAAAAGTAGAAAATGGCTTTTTATTGTAAAATTTAAATCCAAAAATAGTCCCATGACCAATCATGGATTTGCTATTTTTTAGAAAATGATTTTTAAAGAATTTTCCTATATATATCTTTAAAAACTTTGGTCGGCCATTTTGGCCCCGCCCTACCCCTGGGGGTCATGATTTGAACAAATTTGAATCTACACTACTTGAGCATGCTTCCATATAAATATGATGAATTATGGCTTTGTCATTCTTGAGAAGAAGATGTTTAAAGAATTTTCCTATATATTTCTATGTAAAACTTTGGTCGGCCATTTTGGCCCCGCCCTACCCCTGGGGGTCATGATTTGAACAAATTTGAATCTACACTACTTGAGCATGCTTCCATATAAATATGATGAATTATGGCTTTGTCATTCTTGAGAAGAAGATGTTTAAAGAATTTTCCTATATATTTCTATGTAAAACTTTGGTCGGCCATTTTGGCCCCGCCCTACCCCCGGGGGTCATGATTTGAACAAACTTGAATCTACACTACCTGAAAATGCTTCCATATAAATATGATGAATTATGGCTTTGTCATTCTTGAGAAGAAGATTTTCAAAGAATTTTCCTATATATTTCTATGTAAAAGTTTGGTCGGCCATTTTGGCCCCGCCCTACCCCCGGGGGTCATGATTTGAACAAACTTGAATCTACACTACCTGAAAATGCTTCCATATAAATATGATGAATTATGGCTATGTCATTCTTGAGAAGAAGATTTTCAAAGAATTTTCCTATATATTTCTATGTAAAACTTTGGTCGGCCATTTTGGCCCCGCCCTACCCCCGGGGGTCATGATTTGAACAAACTTGAATCTACACTACCTGAGGATGTTTCCCCATAAGTTTCATCTTTCCTGGCACATTGGTTCTTGAGAAGAAGATTTTTAAAATATGCCACTAAATTTTCATTAATTCCCAATTATCTCCCCTTGAATGAGGGCGTGGCCCTTCATTTGAACAAACTTGAATCCCCTTTACCCAAGGATACTTTGTGGCAAGTTTGGTTGAAATTGGCCCAGCGGTTCTTGAGAAGAAGTCGAAAATGTGAAAAGTTTACAGACAGACAGACAGACAGACGGACGCCGGACAAAATGTGATCAGAAAAGCTCACTTGAGCCTTCGGCTCAGGTGAGCTAAAAATGGGAGAAACATCAACCATCAAACTACAGGCCTGTCTCCCTAACATCAATAGCCTGCAAACTCCTGGAACATGTTGTACACAGCACAGTTATGGACCACTTTGATCGGAACAACATCCTCTGTGATGAGCAACATGGCTTTCGAGCCCGCCGATCATGTGAGACACAACTTGTTATTACACTGGACCAGTTAGCCAGAAACATGGACCAGGGATACCAGACAGACGTAATACTTCTGGACTTTTCAAAGGCTTTTGACAAAGTCCCCCACCAACGTCTTCTACTGAAATTGGAGCACTACGGAGTGTCAGGCACCACTCTAGGCTGGATAAAGGACTTCCTAAGTCGGAGAACCCAATCAGTGGTACTGGATGGGCATACATCTTCACCGTTGGATGTCCTTTCCGGAGTGCCACAAGGAACTGTCCTGGGACCACTCCTTTCTTAACCTACATAAACGACCTTCCTGAGTGCACCAATTCAGACGCCAGACTGTTTGCAGATGACTGTCTCGTCTATCGACAGATCCGAAACCAGAGAGATGCAGACAAATTACAGAAAGATCTCACTGCCTTAGAAGGATGGGAGAAGAAGTGGCAGATGTGCTTCCACCCCGAAAAGTGTACAGTCATTCGGATCTCCAACAAACGACAGCCACTGCAAACATCATACACCCTGCATGGACATCAGCTGGAAGTGGTGGAGAGTGGGAAGTATCTTGGTGTTACCATCTCCCAAGACCTACAGTGGAATAACCATATACACAATAAGATTGGGAAAGCTACAAGAATCCTGGGCTTCCTGAGACGAAACCTTGGCCAGTGCACACCATCAGTTAAAGCAACAGCGTACTGTACCATGATCAGACCATCGACCGAATATGCGTCACCAGTGTGGGATCCCTACCAGACCAACTTAACAAAGGATTTAGAACAGGTACAGCGTAGAGCGGCCAGGTTCGTCTTTAATCAGTACACGGATACCTTCCCCGGGTGCGTAACATCTTTACTTGAACAACTAGAGTGGGGCTCACTCCAGCATAGGAGAACAACACATCGATTAGTCCTATGCTACAAAATAAGGAACCGCCTGGTGGACAACAATCCAGACAAGTATTATACACCCGGGGACAGAAGAACTAGAGGCAGCCATAGATACAGACAGCATCGTGCCATCAAGGAGACAAGAATTCATTCTTCCCACGGTCGGTGAGAGACTGAAACCGCCTACCAGAGACAATTACAGCAGCCCGTACTATTCAGGAGTTCAGGACTGGACTAAACAGTGTCCCCTGGACCCAGCTGCAACCCTGGTAGACAAGACATCCACAGTGTATATAGTTTTATCCGTTTCTAAGAGGAAGCCTCTAAGTTTTTAACCGAGCTGGAGTTATTAACACTCTGTATAGAGTTCAACTCTCTACCGGAAGAAGAAGAAGAATTTTTATTTGTATTGGATAATTTTCCATCTGTATTTTACAATTTCTTATTTGTATTGTAAAAAATTCTTATTTGTAGTCTATAATTTTTTCTTTGTATCGTATCCGAAGATTATTTATTTATTTCGTTACGAAGGATTTCATTGGTAAAGATTTAGCCTGTATTGTGTTGAAAATGAGCGAGATCTTCCAGGTGCTCTTGAAGAGCAAACTGGGGTTTTTCAACATATTTGCGTACATGTTAGAGGCCAGTCATTTATATGAAAAGGGATCGTTGGCAGATGGCAAATAAATAATGTCATTAGAAATGTTGTCCGAGAAAATAAATAATCTGATATTGACTGGTGTACCTCAGCTACCCACCCCCAAAGAAATCACGAGTTTTCGGGTTTGGGAAGATTTTCTTCTCTCCCCCAACCCCAAAGTACATTGGCTTCCGTACATGTACAGGAGCCCAGTCCATCCCGAAACATATCTCGCAAAAAAGAGTAAAACTTGAGTCGACCGAGAAAATCCTTCAAAACAAAAAACCAACGAAAAAATAAACAATCCCTCGGCTACAAAACAAATTAAGAAGAATCTAAATAAATATCCTTCTCAAAAAGGCATAAAACATTACTTGTCATATATACAAGTATATAAAAGTAGTAGTATCGTCAACCTTTGGACATTTTATGCAATTTTCTTCATTTACTGTTTAACCATTTTCAACCAGCTTTGCTCTAACACTTCGTATGGCAAAGAGGAACAATTCTGCTTTCTCCTGGGGCCTGATACAGTTAGTGATGAGGACTAAAACCTTCAAACTCAATTAAAGTATCAAAAATAATCTTATTTACTCTTTGACAACAAGGAATCAAACTGTTTGCCTGATTATAAAAAGTAATGTGCCCTTTTATCATAGGCGCTTGGGTCTTTCTGCTTCATAATGTCACAGAAATTCGATTTTAAAAAATGACATATCCCACTGTATACTAAAAAGAAAAGTTTCTTTTTAGTATACAGTGGGATATGTCATTTTTAAAGCGTGCATAAAATCTAATTTCTGTGACATGCTAGTGTATATGAAGCAAAAAGGTTTACAAAAAACTAAAAATTAACACTGCATACTGAAAAAGAAAATGTTACGAGTAAGTTCGAATTTCCTCGACAATACATTAGGCCATTCCAAGTTTTTTTCTCTGTTTAGCGTCCACTCATCTTTCAAAAACCTACCTACCTATTCGCTAAAAACACACAAGCCAAAACATAAAACACAGGCTTAAAAGTGATAAAAATGACGCCCTTCAAATGATTTGATCTAACTAAACTGCTTTAATAGAAGAAATATCTGTTCTTAAGCAAAAGCAAGGGATTAAATGCTTAAAATACACCCAGTATAATTTACTGTATAGAATTATTTGGAGAAATTGACAAAATTTAAAAATTTCGATTAAATTAATCAATTTCAGGACTCCTGATGTTGTGTGTTTTTTCTTATATGGGGTGTCAAAAACCAAGGCGCACGTGGACGCTAAACATAGAAAAAACTTGGAATGGCCTTATATAGAAAAATACAGTATCCTTGACCCAAGCGCCTATGCCTTTTATCAAAATTTTGAAAAGTATCGTCCAAATGTTCAAGGGTTCTGGTGTAAGGACCGAACTCTATATTGATTAAATAGTAAATATGCATTTGTTACTGATAATTTCATGCTTTGATCCAGGGTTTTTAGAAAATATAAGTGAATGGTTATGATGTTCCAAATTGAGAAATTCATCGCCCATGGAACAGATGTTCAGGGACCAAGACAGAGTTTCATTGACCATATAATGAAAATAACTTTTAGCTCACCTGAGCCGAAGGCTCAAGTGAGCTTTTCTGATCACATTTTGTCCGTCATCCGTCCGTCTGTCTGTCCTTCTGTAAACTTTTCACTTTTTCGACTTCTTCTCAAGAACCACTGGGCCAATTTTGACCAAATTTAGTACAAAGCATCCTTGGGTGAAGGAAAATTTAAATTGTTAAAATAAAGGGCCAAGTCCCTTCACAAGGGGAGATAATCAAGAAAGACAAAAATAGGGTGGGGTCATTAAAAAATCTTCTTTTTAAGAACCACTGGGCCAGAAAAACTGAAACTTATGGGGTAGCACCTTGGGGTAGTGTAGATTCTAAATTGTGCAAATCATGACCCCCGGGGGAAGGGCGGGGCCACAATGGGGAATCAAATTTATACATAGAAATATATAGGAAAAATCTTTGAAAATCTTATGCTCAAGAACCACTGGGCCAGAAAAGCTGAAACTTATGTGGAAGCATCCGGGGGTAATGTAGATTCTAAATTGTAAAAATCACTGGGGAATCAAAGTTTTACATAGAAATATATAGGAAAAATCTTTGAAAATCTTCTTCTCAAGAACCACTGGCCTGGGCCAGAAAAGCTGAAACTTATGTGGAAGCATCCTGGGGTAGTGTAGATTCTAAATTGTTAAAATCATAACCCCCGGGGGAAGGGCGGGGCCACAATGGGGAATCAAAGTTTTACATAGAAATATATAGGAAAAATCTTTGAAAATCTTCTTCTCAAGAACCACTGGGCCAGAAAAGCTGAAACTTATGTGCTCATGAAATGATCCTTGGGTAGTGTAGATTTCAAAATGTCTAAATTATGATTATTGGAGTAGGGTGGGGATGCATTATGTATTACAAGGGGGAAATCTGGTAAAGAACAGAATGGTCAAAGCTTCTCATGTGAGCGATGTGGCCTATGGGCCTCTTGTTTAAAAATCTTCTCTGCCCCTGAATATTTCTGTACGTGTACTCTGTGAATGGTTTTGATGAAATATGCAGGTGCTTCTTCAAAAATTATTAAATTTTCGGCCCTTGATCAGGGGCTCCGGTATTTGGATGCGGTTCCATTGATTAGATGGTTTAGTTGCAATGCTTCTTTGAATATCTTTTTCTCTGTCCAAGGATATTTAGCAAATATACTTCGTATATTGTTCTGATGAGTATGAGTGGCGCTTCCAATTTTATTGCATTTCACGGTTCGTTGGTCTGGGGCTCTGAAGTAATGGTGTGGCCCTATAGAAAAAGAGGCCCATGGGCCTTATAGTCACCTGAGCATCATGTAACAACTTTTGAAGTTAATTATTGTTTTAGACCAGTGACCATGACAATCATAAATTTGAAAGAGGCACCAATGATCATCATAACTATACACTTAGCATGCTTAGTTAGGTTACTTATATACCCATACGCAGAGTAGGGGAACAAAAACTGCATTTCAACTAATCAGTAATATTCATCAATAGTCATTTCTCGTTAGTGCCCAACCCAAAAGGAAACCCTGACCCTGGGCCCACATCTTCACAATTTTGGAAAAGGCACCATTGCTCATTACATATATGTTTGATTAATACAAAGAAGCAGATTTCAAAGCAAGGAGCAGATTTCAAAGCATTAATTCATTTTCAGAATACACGTATAATTAGAGCCCCCCCCCCCTACGATACCCATGACCCAGGGGCTTTGCAATTCACAAATCTATAAGGACCGGTGATCATCATAGCTATCTAGGTCGATCATCTGCTTCATACCCAGGAGGTGAGGAGAAGATTTTTAAAGAATAAATTCTTTTTCAATACTAGTATATAATTTATATAGTTCCGCATCAACACCAGGACCCCTGATCCTCATCGTTCCTATTTTTGTAGTAAGTTTGTTAAATACTCAGCTGTAGAGAAGATTTTCAAAGAAGCATTTTCAATATATATATAGTCAATAGGGCGCCCGCCCTAACATCAGAACCCATGACCTTAGGCCCTAAGGCAATGAAATTCACAATTTTAGGAGAGGCATCCTTCTTCATCATAACTATGTAAGTAGTTTGTTTAAAATCCAGCAGCAGAGAGGAAGATTTTCAAAGAAAAAATGTAATTTCACTATATATTCAATAGGGCCTCCGCCCTAACATCAGAACATCTGACCCCAGATCCATGAAATTCACAATTTTAGGAGAGGCACCCTTCTTCCTTATAACTATGTATGTAGTTATTTTGTTTATTACCCAGCAGCAGAGAAGAAGATTTTCAAATAAATAATATATTTTCACTTTTAAATCAATACAGTCCGACGCTAAAACCAGAACCCCTGATCCAGGGGCCATGAGATTCATAATTTCGGAAGAGGCAGCCTTGTTCAACAGAACTATGTACTTGGTTATTTTATTTAACACCAAGAAGCATAGAAGAAGATTTTCAAGGAAATAATGCATTTTCAATATATAATCTATATAGCCACGCCTTAGAATTAGAACCCCGACTCTGGGGCCATAAATTTCACAATTTTGGTAGAGACACAATGCTTATAACATTCATGCCAACAGTTTGACTGCTTGATGTCCAGGAGTAATGAAGAAGATTTTTTAAAAATGAATTAATTTTAGTGGTTTCTGTCCCACCCCTCAGGCCGCAGGGGACAAGGACGATGACATTCACAATTTTTGTTACCCTTTACTCATAGATGCTTTATGCCAAATTAGGTTGAAATTGGTTGAGCGGTTGCAGAGAAGAAGCTGAAAATGTTCATATGTTAACGCACAACGCACGACGACGGACAAAAACGAATAGCAATAGGTCAACCGAGTTTACTCAAGTGACCTAATAAAATAAAGAAAAATAAGCCTATTGGATAATGCTATGTTGTCCAAAAGTACTAAAAAAAGATGATCAGGAATAAACAAAATAAGATTATTTTTGAACCTGCCTGTTATTCTTTCTTACCTTACTTATA